TCCTTCCTCCTAGCAAACCAGGACCTTCCCTTGACCCTTGAAAAATCTCATGTCCTCAGTGTACCTGTCTGGCATCAGATCCCTCCACAGTGTACTACTAGATTTGGAAGGGAGTGATTAAAGGAGGCTGCGCAGAAAAGAGTTAAGATAGCAAACCAGAGCCGCTATCCTTGGAAAGTCTTGCTGGGAAGTTGGTCTTTATCTGGGGTCTGGGAACTTAGCTGGTAAACAGTTTCCTTAAATGACAAAATTTTCCTTAAATGACAAAAATGACTCAGTGTACCTGAACTCTAAAACAATGTGGTTTGTACCAAACATTTACTTTTCTTCTGGGGATCTACATTTTGGTGCCTGCTTAGCAGAGGATGCCTACATGTCCAGTTGCCAATTAAAAACCTTAGTCATCTAGTCTCTAATGAGCTTTCCTTGCACACAGCCCTGTGCATATGTTGCCACAACCCTTTGCATATTGTCACAATGCATTGCTGGAGTTGTGCATCTTATTTGACTCCACTGGGAGAGAACACTTGGAAGCTTCTACCTGGTTTCCTCCAGACTCTACCCATTTATTTTTTCCCTTTGCTGATTTTGTTTTATATTCTTTCTCTGCAGTAAATCTTAGCCACGAATGCAATTATAGTCTTAGTCAGATAGGTCATTCTAGGGAATCATCAAATCTGGGGATGGTCCTGAGGACACCCAATACAGGGGCACACCTGCATAGCTACCCTAAATTCAGTGCCTCAACCAACATCTTTAAGTACTTTCATTTTCATGTCATCCTCTGCTTTACCTAATAACACCCAGAGGTATTCTCACATTTTGCTGCACTCTTCTTTGTGCTTTGCTCAGTGATTTCCTCTGTCAATTCTATACCTTCTGTCTTCTACATTTCAGGAATTCCTCAAAATTTCTGATCCATTAAGGGCACTCATTGTTCTGCAACAATGATTTGGATTTTTTTTTAATAAACCTCTCTATCATCTCTAAAGATTTAGGATGTGGTAGGTTGTAAGGCGCATTTTATCATTTTAGAATCTAATCTCCTGGTTCTCTATTTTTTATCAAGTAAAATGGAAAGAAAAAATATTTCATTGAGGTGTCAACCCATATTTGCTTTTTGTTTGCTTTCAGTTCAACTTAGCAATTATTTATTTAGGAGTTAGCACCAAGAAAAGCCAATGTATACAAAATATATATACAGATAATGTATATATATACATATGTATATTTATATGTGTGTACATTCTTAAGTAAGCTTTATTATGGCTTTTTTTCTTTAAGTACTTAATTACCACATAACTTTTTAAAGACTAAAAACTGTAGTGTCAAAATAATTAGGATGTAGGAAAATAAGCATAAAAGTCAATGATAGCTAAAGGTAGATGTGTTTATTGGAGATAAAAATGTGAAATTACAATTATTGTAGAAATATAAGCACCTGCAAATTCAACTAAATTCAATACATATATTGAATTTCAATTCTATCAGTAGATGCTGTAGGTAATTTTAAGACAGCCAATTTGTCCTTACAATCTAATAGAGATTGATCTAATAGAGTATTACACTTTACCCCTCAAATCAAGCACTTGTGATAGGTTTCTATGAAAATTATATTAAAAATACCACCTTATTTAGCCTAAATAAATGCTGTCAAAAATATTTCAGTGAATTAACTGATTATGGACTCCAGACCTAGACTGCCTAGGTTGGAATTCAGATCTTACCACTTACTAACTGTACTACATTGGGCAACCTCTCTTAGCCTCAGTTTCCTCATGTATGAAACTGACATAATGATTGCACTTACCTCATAGAGTTGTTATGAAAATTAAATGTGTTAATACAAATAAAGTGCTTGATATAGTGCCTAGGACATATAATGCATACGTAAGTTTCAGTTATTAGGATCATTTCACACCGGCTAAGAAAACGGGAAACACAGGTTATAGTCCCATTTCATTCACTTACGTTTGAATGTCTTTAGGGAAGTCACTGACCAACCTTCCTAGGCTGCCATTTCCTATGAATTTAAGGAATAAACTTCATGACCTCAGTATTCTACCTAGCTCTACAATTCCAAACCTAATACAGAATTATTTTTTTATTTAGAAACAACCATACTGTCCTTTCATTCTACTCTGTGCACTTGAGCCCCAAATTGCGTCCATATGGAATATATTGTTTCTACCAATCATTGAATATTTATTAAATTTCCACATATGAATGTGTGTTCTTCATGCCTCTCCTCCCAGACAAGACAATAATGACTTTAGGGACAAAGGGCCATTCTTTCCTCTTTGCGCGTAATAAATATTGATTCTTCATTCCATCCTAATGCCTGTATTGAATGAGTGCCAAACATGTTCTAGCTAGGCACTAAGGGAGAAAAGTAAATAAAATCTGATTCCTGATCTCAAAGAATTAATTACAGTAGACCAACCAATGAAATGTAATTACAATACGGTGTGATAAAAGCAATAATAAAAGCTGGAGTGATTAAATATGCTTGAATGGCTCACAGAAAATTATTTTTTAGAAGAGACATGAACTGCATCTTAAGAAATGAATAGCAATACCCTAGGTTGAATTAAAAATGAAACCAACAGTTCCCTCATTTTAATGTATCTCATGCATATGTGATGGAGTATATTGTATCAAGTTTTGACTTATTATACTGAGGCTGGCAAGGATTTGGTTTCCCTGAAGCAAGTATACATCAATTATCTGAAGTAGAGATCTGTCTTCAAATTTCTTTCTCTTCCTCAATTCATCACCAAATCCTGCATATATATTACCTCCTATTTTTTCTTGAATCTGTTCATTTCTGTACATCTGCATTAACTCCAAGCCGCCATCATCTATCACCTGGGTCATTGCAATAGCCTCCTAGCCAATTTTCCTATATTTACTATTGCCCTCTTACTATACATTCTTCAAACTATAGCTAAAATGATTATTAAAATACAATCCTGGCCCTTCCCCATCCTGAATAATTCAGACCAAAAGCCATTATGTAAGTTTGGCACAGTGTTAGAGCCCAACCAAGGTGAGACGAGTGTTCATTTTGGGCAAAGGTAGAGAAATGAGGGAGTGAGTGACTGTGTATTGGAGCCATTTCAGGGTGTTCCTATGAAAGGGCAGCCTGGCATAGGTCCGAACCTGAGTGAAGTGAATAGAGTATCTGCTCAAGAGAGCTATCCAGATAAAGTATGGGAAGCCAAGTGGATGAAGAGGGCAAGGAGAGGGGCTAGCATCAGCAACCACCAGAGATTGGTTACATGGGAGAACTGAACATTAAGTACATATGCATCAAGGATAATGGGAACCAGGTTTCTCATTGTCAGGGAACGGTGCTGAACATATGGAAAGGAAAAAACTAGAATGAGTTAAATGAGTTCCATTATACTGGAATTGGAGGTATTGGTGTGAACCCATAGTCTTATATTTATGTAAGTATGAACATGTGTATGTGTGTCTGTACATGTGCATGTGTGTGTGTATCCATACATATACATATTCCTGACCTCTGTCCACTGATAAGATCCGAGAATAATAGCATCCAAAAGCATGGAGCATGATTAGCACCAAGACCTTGCTATCCAAATACCATTCCCCCAAAGAACCAGGCTTCTTATATAAATGGCTGGCATCAGGGCTGAGGCAGGAAAAGTACTGAATGAATCTGGAACATCTTATTGTGCACTAAAAGCATACTCAAAAAATGATGTGGATTGTCAAAGGAACATGAAAGTCAGCTTGAAAGAATTCCAAATGGTCAAATCCATTTGCCAATTCCAAATGGCAAACAACTTAGCCACCTAAGTAAATGATGATAATGGATTTTAACCCTTTAAATAAAATAAGAATCCATAATAACATAAATTAATGAATAAATTGAAAGTTTGATGAGGAATAGGATATTCATAGTTTCAAACTACCTCCCACAAAGCACTCCTTTAATTACAAAAAGGAAAAATATAACCTTACAGTGGAAAGACCTCACATACACTCTTTAATCAAACAATCCAACTTAATACTACCAATAATGGGACAAATCAAAACTGGAGCCACCTGATAACATGCAATGACAAGAACATAGTGTCACTTCTATTAAATTCCTGACAAAGTTGCATAACCTAAATCTAATCATGAGGAACCATCAGACAAACCATAAAAGGGAGACATCTACAAAATAACTGGCTTGTATTCTTCACAAATAACAAGGTGTTGAAAGTCAAGGAAAAACTGAAGAATGGTTTCTAACTTGAAGGAGTCTTAAGGAGTTAGGACAACTAAGTGAAACAATTGGTTCCTCGCTGGATCCTACAGAGACATATTAGTTTAGCTATGGATCCTATACGGTCATTTTTTTATAAGCTGACATTTGACTTACTACATATGAAATTGTTACCAATTACAATTTATTTCATATTTGCATTGATGTCATAAGCAGGCATCCTCTTTATCACGATATTTTCTCTTCTGATAGATGCAAATGCAGCTACTTCCATTGTTCTAGTTATGATGCTGCAGATCAAAAATGCAGTTTCTATACCATATCATTAAATATAGAGGTGGAAGAGAGGATTATGGATAACTCCCCAGTTTCCAGCTTGGATGACCAGGAAGTCAGGCATACTGTGTTATGCTCAAATGTTCGTTCACCCACACACAGAAATATTTTTATTTCTCTCAAATTTCCTACTGCCTCTTGAACCCTATAGTTTGATACTGAAATCAGTGTCACTTCAGCAAAGCTTCCCTTTTTCCGCAAAATTTCCCTTCTGCTCCACCAACTCACCGACCATAAATATCCTCTATAGCCCTGCCTTTCCCTTTAAGAACACGGTCACACGGTAATTGCCTGCCTAAACCCGCCCTCCGGGAGGGAAGGGGGGGGTCCTGTCACCACAGCAACGGGAGCAGGAAGGGGCGGGCTTCGTGGTCCTGCATCCGGCCTGCCGCGTGCGCCAGCTGCACTGGTGCGGGGGTGCAGGCTTCTCGGGCACAGCGTGTCCTTCAGCTCCGGGTTGGAGCCGGAGCCGGAGCCGGAGCCGGATTCCGCGCAGAAGGCCACGTCAACCTAAACTTACACCGCCCTCCCCACCCCGCCGCGCCCGCAAGGCTTGCGGCGAGTCCTTCCAAGCCGCGTCGTCCACGCCTTTCCCACAATGCCCCGCGCCAGGTCCCGCCCCGCCTCGCCTAGGAGACCGGCGCGCGCGGAGCAGACCGGAGCCGGCCGCTTTCGCAACCCGGCGGTGCGGCTGGACCTCCCCAGTCCCGGATGCGGCGGGGCTGCGGTTAAGAGAGTGCGCGCTTCCGTCTCGCAGGCATAGCTTGCGCTAGGCCGAGTGGGGTCCGCCGCCAGGGATTGAGGATGGGGAAGTAGCTGCAGGAGGCGACCCCGCGACGCCGAGGTGGGCATAGGCCGGGGGCCGAGGCTCTAAGAGTGCCGGCGGCGTCTGGGCCCTCTGGGAAGATGCGGGGTGGGGGCGTGGGGGCGAAATGCCTGTGCGCCGGAATTTCTCTCTCTTGCAGGTCGCTTATTGTGTTCTCACTCCCAGTCTTTTTCTTCTCCACTACCAATACCACCCTTCCTCCGCCCAGCGGTTCCCCGCTTTTTGCTCCATTTTCTAACTTTAGCCTCGGTTATCCATCCAGGTTTCTTTCTCCCTTAGTCCGGCCTGAGATTTCACACACCAGCAACACTTGACAGTCTTGTTTCTCTCAGTGGCTCCATCTTTCCCGTCTCCCCGCAACCCTTTCTGGAGTGGTGGCGGCAGTGAGTTAGCGTTGCATTTACCTGCAGCTTCCACCTGTGCTCGAAGGTGGGGCAGAGCAAGTCAGGCACGCCCACGCTGACCGAGAACCTCCGCTAGGCAAGAACAAGCAGCACTTGTGTTTGAGAATATGTTCTCTATTTTTTTCTAGTCATTTTTTGGACATTTATTAATCTCCACTATGTTTTACCAAAAAATCGGGGGTTTTGGTTTGGTTTGGTTTGCTGGCGTGAAAAGGAAGAATTAGAAATGAACCAAAAACCTTTTGCAGGTAGGGAGAAAATTTTTAAAAGCAGACGTTTAGGAGTAAATGAAGAAAGGAGGAACTGAGGATGCTAGGAAGGTTACATTTTTCAGTGTTATTCTTTGGAACCAAAGTATTAAAATTTTTTACATGTAATCTGATGGTTTTATTTTTACCCTACCCAGGTGAACATGCTTAAATAACTGATTCCTCTTCTCCTTTTCTGTTTCTTTTTCTTTTTATACCAGACTAAACTTTGCAGTAGAATTACAGTGTTAACATTGTTATTCTGCTAGGTATATAAAATATCTACTTGGATGTAATATAAGCACATTCTGAGAAAACCCAGGGGGAAAACGGCCTACTATATAAGTTGTCTATTACAATGATATAAATTCATTACCGTTCTTCGACCGATTGTATGAAAAATACAGACCCTTTGAAAGGATCTCGTGCTTTCTAGTCCCCGCCAAAGGACACTTCCTACAAGTGAAATTTGATTGAAATGAAAACTGCTAGCCTTAAAGGGGTGAAGAAATAGCCGAAAAGGAAGCTGATCAAAAGGGCCATGCTTAAGCTGGATAGAAAAAGGAAGGAAATCACTCCTTTTCAACCCCTTGTGTTCTGGGTGCTGATCGGAGCAAACTGCAGCATTTGTTTGTAAAGTGTTCTAGCTAGCTGTAACCGCACTAGCTACTTTTTACCTTTATTTACTGTCTTCAGTGATCTCACGAATCTGGCTACCTGGATGTGGAAGTAATGAAGGGGCTCCCCCAAAGAACAGCCTGGGGCATTCACCCTGATTTGCCATTTACTGAAAATTGTATTGCTGGCAATGTTACTTAGTGAATAGTGTTACTCATGGGCTTGTTTTTTAATTAATGTATTTTAACTACCCGATTTTTTTCTCTTTAGATTAACGTTTTGGGAGACAATTTGTGATGCCTGATTAACCTTTAGAGTAATGTGGACAGAAGTTCTCAAACTTGCATATTACATCAACTGGAACCAGTGGCATTACCTTAATGTTCACTTAAGTCAAAACTTGGACAAAAAAGACAATGAGGGTCTGGTTAAATAAAGATGACTATTTCAGAGACTTGAAAAGGGTCGTTCTCTGTTTTCTAATAGTATATATGGCTGTTTTAGTGGGTACAGATCAAGATTTTTACAGTTTACTCGGAGTATCCAAAACTGCAAGCAGTAGAGAAATAAGACAAGCTTTCAAGAAATTGGCATTGAAGCTACATCCTGATAAAAACCCGGTAGGTAAAATTTTCTTTTTAAAAATATCTAATGTGTTTTAGAAGGTTTTAATATGTATTTAAATTATTATAAATAAGTGCTCAAAATGCTTAAGAACAATCACATGTCAAAAATCGTAATTCATCTTATATACTGAAAACAGCCAAAAAACAGAAGCAAAATGTTCTAAGTTTAGAATAGTGTAAGGAATGTCAATACCAAAAATACAGTTTCCCTCTTAGTTTGAAAACTAATTTCCAGCAGCTCTCTTACAGATGTTAATCTCAAAACAGAAATAACTGAAGTAGTTTTCTTAGTAAAGTAGGTTAAAATCAAGTATTTTAGAGCAGTAACAGAAATATTATTTCCTTAGGACTTAGAGGGTATGTTGTCCTAAAAATAGTAATAGCTAATAATAGCATGCTTCGACTTTCACTATTTTCCCCCATGTGCAAGTCTAAGACCAGAGTCAAAAGTACTATGAATTAAAACTTAAGCAGCCAAGTCCAGTTAATTGCAGTCATAAATATTTGATTGTGTACCCAATAATGTAATCTTTCAAAACTAAATTAGCTTTTATCTTAAGGTATTTTTATACTTTACTTCATTTTTTCTCAGTGAAATTTGATATTCATCAAAGAAAAAGGTATGATTATGTTATAATTTTCTAGATAGAGTTTTAAATAGGATTATTTGATTTCAGCTGCATAAAGCTGAGCAGTAGAATCAACATTTCTCTAAAACTCTTGTTAATTGGTAATTTTTTCTTGAGATGTACATTCTATTGTATTTACGATTTTTATTTAAAATTTCAAAATATTATTTAAGTTTCTATATGAAAGATAGTAGACCACCTACAACTAAGTATTATTTAGGTGAAAACATTCTTCAAAAAATTTTGTGAAACAGTAACAAATGAAACATAAATCCTATCTTGAGTGGTTATTCTGATACTAGTTCTTATTTAATTATCTGATAGATTGGATTACATGCTTTTTCTTAGTTAATATGTTGAATATTAACCTCAAATAAAATAACTCACAAATTTCATTGTGATTATCTTAGGGGTAACATATTATTTACAATATTAAGGCTTTCCAGGGGTTCATTAGTTTCTTTCTCAGTTGCATTTCTTAGAAGGAATGACATATTTTATGACCACATCTGTCAACCTTTTGAGGCATCAATTCTCCTTTCTCTGTTACTTTTCTTATTGTTTAAAATTGTAGTTCTTTAAAAATAACTTCTTTACTTCGGTCCATGATCACCCGTATCATAATTGTGCTGCTCCCACTTATCCTAGTATCTAATCTCACAGAACTCTCAGGATTAAATTACATCAACATAGGTTTCTGAAGAGATTTGATTGTGTATCTGAAACAAATATTATATCTAATATTTTTTAATAGAATAACCCAAATGCACATAGTGATTTTTTAAAAATAAATAGAGCATATGAAGTACTCAAAGATGAAGATCTGCGGAAAAAGTATGACAAATATGGAGAAAAAGGACTTGCAGATAATCAAGAAGGAGGCCAGTATGAAAGCTGGAATTACTATCGTTATGATTTTGGTAAGATGATACAAAATTCCTTATGAAATTCTTGTTTATTTGAGTAAATTTAGAAAGTTTTGTTTCACCTCTTAGGAAGTTAGGATGCATTACCTTGACTCTTCAATAACATGGGAGTGGAATTCAAAAGAAAAGTCAAGTAGTATGTAGATACTATCTGTATAGGTTTGAAGATGTTTCAGTCATAATCTTGTTAAATACTTTTAAAATAAGAGTTGTAATTAATTTTAAAAATATTTGCATTAGAAGTTAAATATTGAAGCCTTTTCATATTTTTAGAGCACCATATTTTCCAAGAAAGGCTAAAGTTTCCTTTAATAGTGGTCACTTCAGTAGAAATGCCATCCTTCTTAATTAGTAATGGTTAATGATGGTTTAAGGTGTTGACAGGAATGAGAAATGAGGCAAGAGCAGAGAGAGTGAGCAAGTTAAATAAATCAAGGAAGGGAAAAAGTAAACAGATATCAAGGCAAGAGGGAGCGTTCAGATATGCAGTAGTTTTCTTGGTCATTAATTAGCCTCAAATGCAGGGTAAGCCTGAAGTATGCTTTATACATATTAGACTAAATAAAATTTTTTGATTTATACTTGGAGTATTTGTTTCTCAAGGCTGACTTTCTTTTCAAAATAGTATTTTCAAGTATATTCACTATAGCGTGATAGTTTGTAACAGGTGTCAGCAATCTACTTTCACAGACAGTCTGGCCTGCCACCTGCTTTTGTAAATAAAGTTTTATTGGAATGCAGTTGTGCTCATTTAACTAGTATTGTCCTTTACACTTAATGGGCAGAGTTGAGTAGTTGTGACAGAAACCATGTGTCCCATAAAACCTAAAATAGTTACTGATGCCTATATATCCATCACTAATATTTAAATATTTTATATAATGAGAAACTTTTTCACATTAGTGTTAATTATTATAATAAATAAAATTTGTATTTACTTCAGTTTGCCCTTACTTCTGCAAATATTCTAATTATATAAGACCTTTAGCAATATAAAATATTTTTAAATAATACCTCATATTTAAAAAAACATGCAATCTAAAAGTGAATGAGGTCTGTAATCTAGTTAACAGTAATGTACCAGTACCAAGTTCCTGGTTTGGCTATTGTATTAAAATTACATAGCATGTCACCATTAAGGGAAGCTGGGAGAAAGGTAAATGGGAGTTTGAACTACTTTAACAACTTCCTTTAAGTCTATAACTATTTCAAAATGAAAACTTTTTTAAAAAACATATAATAGAAATTTCCTATGGAGAAGAAATTACATGACTATAATAGGAACCCTGCAACACACACCCCTGTGACAATCCATATCAAGAAACTAGTATCTTTTGATCACTCTTTAAATGTATCACCAATGGTATTGTTTACTCTTTGCTTTTCTCTTAGTTTGCTGCATATTCTTAAACATTGAGATTTAGTATAGTAATCTGATTTTTGATGAATGAAACAAAAGTAACATTTTTATGTGATGATTTATTTTTATAATGAAGTTTTAATTTTATACTTTCATGTACTTTTAAAATTAGGTATTTATGATGATGATCCTGAAATCATAACATTGGATAGAAGAGAATTTGGTAAGTTTGTGGACATATGATTTTTCTAAAATCATAGTTCAAGACCAATTTCTTAACTAAAATTCTTGAGGACAAATATATTTAGAATTTAGAAATTTTTTTGAATGTTAGCAAGGTAATATGGTATATCTTGAACATTAAATAACATTCTACAGTGTTAGTTACGATTTTCACATAGTTTCTTTTAGTATCATCATCAACTTTCCTTCTGTTATCTTAATGAACTTTTATGACCTTCCTGTGCATTAGCTACAATTATTTTTCTCATTTCACAGATGAAGAAATGAAACCTTAGAAGTACTAAGCAACATCCTCAACATTCCATACATGTGTGTTTCTGACATTTGAAATAATAATGAAACAATACCTGTTCTTTTTCTGCATTTTTCCAGATTATTAAAAAGTGTTTACATTTAAGAGTATGTTAAGTGAAAAAAAAAACCTAATACAAAATTGTATATGCAGTATAATATAAATTTTACATAATGTGTACACAAAGATGCATAGAGGATAGAAGCTGTATGAGAAAATAAAAAATCAGCACTGATAAAAATAAAGTTCTTATCAGAATGTAGGGCAGTATACTGTTTTTAAAAACATATTAAAATATCTTTAATTTAAAAAAATTTTTAACATAATATTACACAGTGAAATGCATAAAAAAGTAAAAATAATACATAGCCCATACCAGTTCAGGACAGGTTTGTATACCAGGTGAGCTTGCTGCAAACTTGCAAAAATACTTCTGGTTTCGAACTTTTGTATTTCAGGGTTTTGAATAAGTATATAGTTATTTTGGCAGCAGGTTTAATTTGACCTATGATTTGTGTCAAAATGGATATAAAAATGTAGCTCTACCGCACTTTGTATTCCATTTTAGAAAACCTTAGATGTTGGATTAGATTCTTATATTTTCAAACTTGTATGTGTATAATAAAATATCCTTTTCTGCCTCAAACCAATATTTTTACCTCAAATCAAATTTCAGTTTTATTTTGCTCTGTTACAGTTAATTTAGAAAACTGTAATAGCATACTAGCTGTAAAATGCATGCATATAATTTCTTGTATTATCATAAACAATGTATTACAGTCACTGATTGTGTACAGTTCCTTCTTAGCAAGAATTGTGTCATTCTTATTTTCTACATCATGTTGGTGAATTTAGGCCTACAAAGTGGCTGTATAGTTCATTACTTTGTTAGAAGTCTTGCAGTGAACACTTGAACAAATTCCCCAAAAAATGAATATTTTTCCTCCAAAGGAAATGGCAGAAAATTCGATTCATTTATATTGTTGGTAGACAGAACTGATAACCCATGTTTCAAGCTGGCAAAATCATAACTTTTTGGCATGTGTTTATATGAACTTAATTACTTTTCCTGTGGTTATTGTCTCTCATGTGTTAGACTATCAGTAAGTATTTTGTGGTCCTGTGGGGCAGAAAACTTTGAAATTAGAGATAGAATTGGAGGAACTGAACAAAACCTGCAAGCTGACTAGTGCATGAATCCACCCAAAATTAAAGACTTTCTTGATGGTTGCATTGCACATGGGTTCAAACTTTTTCAGATTTGTCACTATAGAGAAAAGGTTAAGAACTGCTGATAGTTCATATAGAACCCCAGATAGTAGTTAAGAATAAGTTGTAGCCACAAAACATTAGAGACAATTTTTCAGAAATAACTAACATTGATAGGTTTGGTGCAGAGTTGCCACTATTCCTTCTGAGCTCTAATACTACCATATGTAGTCCTAGTCTTAGACAAGCTAATCCTGCAGTTTTAGTTGAAGAAGCCACAGGAAGATGACAAGGATGGATAGCATTATCAATTTGTGCTTATGTAAATATCACATTAGCCTACTTGATTGTGGGTCTCTTTATTACTAGTAGTTTCTGATGGTTTGGGTTAGTTGATCTTGTCTTTTGTGTAACGAATTACATAAGTAATTATGGAGTTATTTTTAAGTTATGTGTGTTCTCTTCCTCCAGAGAGGAATTATGTTTTCTTCGGACTAGAGTCACTAAAGATCTCAGATCAGCTTTATCCAAAGAGGTTAAAAGCTGAGCTTAGGACTTAGATAGGACTGATCTCTTTCCAGTTCATCTTTATTTACAGGATCCTTTCTTACTTATACCCTAAGCGCTCTGTTTTCATCCGTCTAGTCTCATGAATCTGTTAAGAGCTCTGCTCAGTTGCTCACTCATCAGCTCCGTGTTCTAGAGGTGGTAAACTGGCCCTCTGATTTCTACTTCCTCCCATACCTGGACCCCTTAATTCTTCACTGTATTGGTAACTCTGATGCTTTCAACAGAAGTCTTTTGTATTTTGTCCAGGTCTGCTGCAGTTGTAATGAAAGAGTTAATCCAAATTACATAGTTCATTTTTATCAGGAGTGGAACTCTAGACTGTTCAACTAGAACAGAAGAGAAAATGTGATTAGTAAACTTGACTCTGAAAATTTTAAAAATGTTCTCATCCTTCCCATTAAACATGATGCATGTTATCTTTTTATATGTGACAGGAAGGTATTACATTGGTTATTATAAACAGGTTCTAGATCGTATCTGCAAAAGCAGAGAACATCTCTCCTACACTAGTCATTCTGAATAGTACCCACACAATACAGGCATCCTTTTGAAGATGAGCTCAAGAGGTTAAAGAGGAACTTAAAGTACCTCTTCCTTTTACATTATTCTAGGCTAACAGTCTATTAGCTGTAGTTGCATAGATATAACAGACAGGCGTTAGCTGTAGTTGTGTAGTTTAGATGCTGAAAATTGCATTTTAAGTTGTAGTTCTGTTCTGGGTCACTGGGTTGTGCAAAAACACCCACATTGAGCTTTGATAATACAGTATTAGAAATATTTTAACCTTATTCTTATTATTCAACAATAGTGGGAACTGGGCAAATAGTTTAGAAGTACTCTATGAACACAAAGTACCAAGGTGGGAGACTTTTTCATTTACACAAGGTTTTGCGTCACACTAAATGTCATTCATATTTATTGTACATCATTTTTCCCCTCCAGTTTTATTGAGATATAATTCACATGCAGCACTGTATAAATTTAAGGTGCACAGCATAATGATTTGACTTACATCATGAAGTGATTATCACAATAAGTTTAGTGAACATCCATCATCTCATAAAGATATAAAATTAAATAGAGAAACTTTTTCTCTTGTGATGGGAACTCTCAGGATTTGCCCTTAACAACTTTGGTATGTAAAATACAGCAGTCTTGATTATATTTATTATGTTGTGCATTACATCCTTAGTACTTACTTGTCTTTTAACTGGAAGCTGGTACCTTTTGACTGCCTTCATTCAATTACCCTTCCCTCCAACTCCTGCCTCTGGTAGCCACAAATCTGATGAATTTTTCTGAGTTTGTTTTCGAAGTATAATTAACCTACAACACTATGTTAGTTCCAGTTACACAACAGTAATTTGGTGTTTCTATACATCTTAAATGATCACAATAATTCTAGTTATGATAGGTCACCATACAAAGATATTACAGTTACTGACTCTACATAGCAATCTATATGTGTGTGAGATTATTTTAAGTTGCTGATGTCTTAAGTTCAGACACATTTTAACAACCCTGCATTTTTATCCCCCACCACATTTACTGTTTTTGACGTAGTTTATATCTTCTTGTTTTGTATATCCCGTAATTGGTTATTGTGGTTATAGTTAATCTTACTACTTTTGTCTTTTAACCTTCCTACTAGCTTTATATATGACTGATTTACTACCTTTACTGTATGTTTGTCTTTAACAGTGAGATTTTTCCTTCCATAATTTTCATGTTTCTAGCTGTGGTCTTTTCTTTTTCATATGTAAGTTTCTGTAACATTTTTTGTAAAGCTGGTTTCATGGTGATGAACTCTTTTAGCTTTTGCTTCTCTGTAAAACTTTTGATCTTCAGATCCTCAAACTCTAAATTGCCAGGTAGAATATTATTGGTTGTAGGTTTTTTCCTTTCATCACTATAACTATATCGTAAATATGTTTAGAGAACTCTAGAAAAGACTGAATGAACAGAGTAAACTAAGAAGTTTTTAAAACAAAAAGTTAGAAATAGAAAGAAGAACCAAACAGATGAAGAATACAGTAAGTGAAATGAAAAATACGCTAGAAGTAATCAAGAATGGATTAGATGGTACAGAGAAATGAACCAGGGAGCTGGAAGAGAGAGTAGTGATAATCACTGAAGCCGAACAGGAAAAAGAAAAGAGAATAAAAAGAAATGAGGACAACTTAAAAGACCGGTGAGACAACATCAGGTGTACTAACATTGGCATTATTGGGACTCAGAAGGAGAAGAGAGAAAGGGGCAGAGAACATACAAGATTTTACCTAAATTCAGTTGATGGTCTAAGTCAACATGACAATTATTTTGACAACCTGGATAGAGTAGTCTATTTGTCAAGACTTTCTAAGGTTGCCAAAGAACAGTTGATAAAATCCTAATGTATACATGTTGCCTGTAATGTGTGGATTAACTTTTTCCCATAGATCTGTGTGCCTTGTAATTGAAATCTAGGTGAACACTGAGGCCTGCATATGTTACTAATTAACCAGAATAATTACATATATCTAGAATGGTGTGCATATTTTGATGTCTTACTATAATTTGCTGTAACTTACGAAAATTTTCTTTAAAAATTAACTGAGAACTGATTTTGATATGGAATTACATGGAAACTCTTTAACCAAAAGCAAATTGTCTTTGCCTTTTTATCTTGAATTTGAGAGCACATCCTTACAATGACAAAATTTTTAAATGAATAAATTTTGTTTACTTGTATCAGATCATCTTATAGGTTATAATGTATAATGTATGGTTGGGTAGACATTATGTGGTGTTCACATCTATTATTTTAGCAAATATGTATTCATGTTTTGAATTGTTAAAAACCTGATCTAATACTTCAAATAACACAATTTACCAAGGTAAATGTCTATTAAGGGCAAACGTTACACATTTCCTATTCCGGTGGGTGTTGTGTAGGTCTCTTACTTCACTCTGTCAGAATCTGGATTAGCTGTCAGAATTGATTGACCACATGTTTAACCTGTGCTGCAGATGGAAGAAAAGACTAGATCTCCGTCTCTCTCACTGTTTCTCTTCATTTCTCTCTTTGAAATTCTCATAGGAGATTCGGCTATTGCTTCCTTGTGTAGCTTCTTTCTTTTTACAGCTTCATGATGACTTTGATCATGCAGTTCAAGGCTGCTTCTTACGCAGGTAGGGCTTGGAAGAGTTAATAAAAAAGGTATTGTTAGTTTGACAGTTGAAATAGTGTTTTCCTCTTACAGAAAAAATTGTACAGAAAATAACAAAGGCAGTGTGAGAGATATATGACTTTTGTTTCATTCTGATCTCAATGAAAATTTTTAACTAAAATATGCACAAACCTTTAGTAAATAGTTCTAAGTTGTTTTGGTTTCATGTGCTTGTAGATGCTGCTGTTAATTCTGGAGAGCTGTGGTTTGTGAACTTTTACTCCCCAGGATGTTCACACTGCCATGACTTAGCTCCCACAGTACGTATTTTTTATATCCTGATTATTAAAGTTTTATTATTTACAGTTGCTCTGTTATTTGAGTGTTTTGTTTTTTTACTGTTAGGATTTTTTCTACTAATGTAATTATAACTATCAGAAATAATCATTTTTTCACATGTCTATGGTTTTATGTGCTAGAAATACTCTCCTTCAAGAATGGAGAGCTTGAAGAATGTTCAAGGAAAAATAAATGATCTTATCTGAGAAATACTTTTTTTTTTCTCGTAGTGGAGAGACTTTGCTAAAGAAGTGGATGGATTACTTCGAATTGGAGCAGTTAACTGTGGCGATGATAGAATGCTTTGCCGGATGAAAGGAGTCAACAGTTATCCCAGCCTCTTCATTTTTAGGGCTGGAATGGTAAGAGTTTAAATTGGCATTTTTTTTAATTTGTGGAAATTATAACATCGAAATACTAGAGAAAATCTGAATATGTGTGGATTTTACAGTATTTTGATTTTTAAGTCTTATTTTAGGTGCCATCTGACTATGCTGTAGTCATAATAAATTTTTGATTGTGTTGTGAATACTTTGATGCCATTGCTTTGACTTTGTTCTATTTCAAAATTAAATGTTTGCCAGTTTCAATTTCCATCTTAATATAATGTAACCAATATGCATATGGTACTTTATAATTCACAAAGTATTTACAGGTATTTTCTCTCATTGACTATAAAGTTCTGATTTCCCTTTTTTCCCTAGCGTTAAGTGGTAAAACAAACTATTATAAACAGTATTATTCAAATGTCTGCCATGTAATCTATAAAATCAAGATTCTCAGCTTATCATTTAGAAATACACTGTTTATAGACAGATCTTACTTATTCAAAATGAGGTAGAATTAAAGGTATTTGGTATGAGTTTTGAAAAGAAAATGTAAAGGATGTTTCTCTTTTTGTAAATAAAAAAATAGGCTGCAGTGAAATACCATGGTGACAGATCAAAGGAAAGTTTAGTGAATTTCGCCATGCAGCATGTTAGAAGCACAGTGACAGAATTATGGACAGGTAATTTTATTTTCATACTTTGCTCAATTTTCAAGGATACTTTGAATTGGTATTTTAAGTTTCTCAGTGGCAGTATTAATGTTTTGGTCATAATACTGAAATTTTAAAATGTCTTTTCCATGCTTTCTTAAAGGGAATTGTATCGTTTGTTCTGAACTCGACGTAATAGTAGGCTTTTAATAAATAAACTACATTTATACAGAAACTAAAACAATTAAGATTTTATGAGATGGGGCTAGGTGAAAAGGCAACTTTCAAAGTTCAACTAAATATTTAATAAACTAAGTGTTTTATTGAGTTCATAAGTATACTGTATCAGGCAGTAAATTCATGCCTATTCAGTTTAATTTTGAAGTTTAAAAACACTTCCAGTCTTAGGCTTTTAATTCATCAAGTTACTTTAGATGGGTTATTTTATTACCCTGTACTACCCATGAAATGATAGTAGTTACCTCTAAAGAAATGCTCATATCATTCATTGAGTATCAGTTATGTCTCTGAAACTATGTCAAATACCAGAGCTGCACTAATAAAGTATATAATCCCTGCCTTCAGGGACCCCATTGTTTTAGTAAGGAAGACATTAGTAAACCATTAAAATGCAAGGTAGTAACTATTATGATAGAGGTAGGTTTAGGAAAGCATGAACGCTATGAAAGAACTCAGGTGGGGAAAAGAGGAAGAGTTAGGAAGTTCTTGAATGAGGTCAGATCCAATCTGTCTTGAAGGTGAAAAAGGAATCCTTAAAAGGCCACTGTATTTGGGAAACTGGCAATATTTCATGAATCTAACAAAAAGATGTGTAAGGGGTGGAGTGGCATGGGGACGAATATAGCTGGCTGAATGGGTAAACAAGGCTCAGGTCACAAGGGACCTTAATTGCCAATTTGAGTTTCTTTCTTTCTTAATGAAATAATGAATTTAGATTTTATGTGATGAAAAAAATAGTGAAGGAATTTGACATCTCAAGAGGATTTTTAGAAAATGCTGTAAACCAGAGTGGATGGGGAAATGAGATTAGAAGGGAACAACCATTTAGAAAACAGTTTTCATTATGAGTACTCAGTGATCAGAAATTTGCTTTATATTCTCTTAAGGAAATTTTGTTAACTCCATACAAACTGCATTTGCTGCTGGTGTTGGCTGGCTGATCACTTTTTGTTCCACAGGAGGAGGTAACATTTTTCTTTATTTTATTATATGAAGGGACTATGACATTTAATTTTTAATTTTAATTTTAATCTTTTTTTCTAGCTTTATTGAGATATGGTTGACATAGAACATTGTATAACTTCACGGTATAAAACGTGTTGATTTTGATACACTCATATGTTCCAAAATGATTACCACCATAGTATTAGCTAACACCTGCATCCTGTCCCATAATTACCATTTCTTTTTTGTGGTGAGGACATTTAAGATTTACTCTTTGAGCAACTTTCAAGTATTTAATACAATATTGTTCATTGTAATCACTGTATACTGTACATTAGATCCCCAGAAGTTATTAATCTTATAAATGGAATTATGTACCCTTAGATTAGGTGACAGTCTTAAGTATGCTACTATAATTGATTATTCAGTACTTCAAATACAGTTTATACCCAGAGTTACAATTTTTATTTAATGAATATTTACCTTTTAAATTACTTTACATGTAACAGGTTATAAAATTGTTCAATGTTTTTAAAGTATAGCTGATTTACAATATTGATAGTTTCAGGCATACAGCATAGTGATTCAGTTTGTTTTCTTGTTTTTTGTGGATTATATTCCATTATAGGTTATTAAAAGATATGGGTATAATTCTCTATGCTATACAGTAAATTCTTATTGCTTACCTATTTTTTGTATAGTAGTTTATATTTGTTAATTCCATACTCTTAATTCATCCTTCCTTCCTCCCTTTCCCCTTTGGTAACCATAAGTTTGTTTTATGTGCCACTGAGTTCATTTCTGTTTTGTATAGACATTCATATTATTTTATTAGATTCCACCTATAAGTGTTATCATTTAATGTTTGTCTTTCTCTGAGTTACTTCACTTAGTATTCTCTGGGTTCACCCACATTGTTGCTAATGTCAATATTGCATTATATTTTATGGCTGAGTAATATTCCATTGTGTATATGTATATATATGTACCACATCTTCTTAAGCCCATTGTCTGTTGGTGGGCATTTGGGGGTGTTTCTATATCTTGGCTTTTGTAAATAGTGCTGCTGTGAACATTGGGGTACATACATCTTTTCAAATGAAAGTTTTCATCTTTTCCAGATATATACCCAGGAGTGGAATTGCTGGATCATATGATAGCTCTAGTTTTAGGTTTTGAGGAACCTCCATACTGTTTTCCATAGTGGCATAGTGGCTGCACCAGTTTACACGCCCACCAACAGTGTTCCCTTTTCAGCACACCCTCTCCAGCATTTACTACTTACAGACTTTTTGATGGCCATGTGACCAGTGTGAGGTGATACCTCATTTTTGTCTTGATTTGCATTTCTCTAATAATTAGCACTGTTGAACATCTGTTTCTGTGCCTGTTGGCCATCTGTGTGTCTTTTTAGGAGAGATGTCTGTTTAGGTCTTCTATCCATTTTTGATTGAGTTGTTTGGTTTTTTATGTTACTGGGTCATACGAGCTGTTTATGTATTTTGGATATTAACCCCTTGTCAGTCTCATCATTTGCAAATATTTTCTCCTGCAGGTTGTCTTTTCGTTTTGTTGAGTTTCCTTTGCTGTGCATAAGACACTAAGTTTGATTAGGCCACATTTATTTTTGCTTTTATTTCTTTTGCCTTGGGAGACAGTTCTGAGAAAATATTGCATGATTTTTGCCTGAGGATGTCTTGCCTGTGTTCTCTCTAGGAGTTTTATGGTATCATGTCTATATTTAAGTTTTTAAACCATTGTAAAATCTATTTTTGTATATGGTGTGAAGGGAGTGTTCTAATTTCATTGGTTTACATATTGCTGTCCAGCTTTCCCTACACCACTTACTGAAGAGACCTTTTTTTTTTTTTTTTTTTTCAGTTGTTGCCTTCTTTGTCGTAGGTTAATTGACCATAGGTGTATGGGTTTATTTGTGTTCTCTGTTCCGTTGATCTGTGTCTGTTTTTGTACGAGTACCATGCTGTTTTGATTACTGAAGCTTTGTAGTATAGTTTGAAGTCTGGGAGAGTTATACGACCAGCTTTGTTGTTTTTCCTCAGGAGAGCTTTGACAGTTTTGTGTTTTTTGGGGTTTTTATATAAATTTGGATTATTTGTTGTAATTCTGTGGAAAATGTCATGGGTATTTTGATAAGGATTGTGTTTAATCTGTAGATTACTTTGGGTAATACTCCCATTTTAACAATGTTAATTTTTCCCATCTAAGAGAAAGAGATAGATATCTTTGCATTTCTTTAAATCATCTTCAGTTTCCTTTACCAGTATTTTATAGTTTTCAGCATGTAGGTATTTTACCTCCTTGGTTATATTTATTCCTAAGTATTTTATTTTATTGACATGATTTTAAATAGGATTTTTTTTTTTTTACTTTTTTTTTGATGTCTCATTTTTAGTGTATAGAAACACAACAGATTTCTGTATATTAATCTTGTAGCCTGCTACCTTGCAGAATTCTTTCATGAGTTCTAGTACTTTTTGGGTGAAGACTTTAGGGCTCTGTATAGATTATATGCAAAGAGTGACAGTTTTACTTCTTCCCTTCCAATTTGGAGAACTTTTACTTCTTTTTCTTGTCTGATTGCTGAGTCTAGTACTTCTAGTACTTTTTTGAGTAGAAGTGGCCTGAATGGGCATCCTTGTTCTTGAATTTAGAGGGAAGGCTTTCAGCTTTTCACCATTGAGTATTATGCTGGTTGTGGATTTGCTGTAAATGACATTCATTATGTTGAGATATGTTCCCTCTGCACCCACTTTGGTGAGAGTTTTTATTGTGAATGGATGTTGAATTTTGTCTAATGCTTTTTCTGCATCTGTTGAGATGATTCTGTGATCATGTGGCTTTTGTCTTTTGTTAATGTGGTGTATCCCATGGATTGATTTGCATATGTGGAACTATCCCTGTGATCCTGAAGTGAGTTCACCTTTATCATAGTTTATGATCCTTTTTATCTATTGTTGGATTCAATTTGTTAATATTTTGCTGAAATTTGCATCTATATTCCTGAAAGATATTGGCCTGCAACTTCCTCTTTTTTTATTGTGGTGTCCTTGTCTAGTTTTGTTATCAGGGAAGTGGTGACCTCGTAGAATTAATTTGGGAATGTTCCCCCTTAAGTTTTTTGGATAAGTTTGAGAAGGATAGGTATAAGTTCTACTTTATTTTTGGTAGAATTCTCCAGTGAAGCTGTCGGTCCTGGAATTTTGTTTGCAGGGAGTTCTTTTATTACAGGTTTTATTTCACTTCTAGTGATTAGTCTGTTCAAATTGTTTCTTCTTGACTTAGCCATGGCAGGTTGTTTCTAAAAACATGTCCATTTCTTCTAGGTTGTCCAATTTGTTGGCGTATAACTATTCATTGTACTCTTATGATTTTTCATATTTCTCTGGTATTATTTATTTCTCCTCTTTCATTTCTCACTTTGTTTATTTGGTTCCTCTCTCTTCATGATGAACCTGGCTTGTCAGTTTTATTTATCTTTTAATTGGGAGTAGTTCCTCTGCCTTTTTATTTTACTTAACTTCCTCTGTCTCTATGAATTTAGTAGAAACAGTTGTCTGTTATAGTCCTAAAGGGGTGTTTTTATGTGGGAGCATCCCTGTGTAGACTGCATGTATACAGCATATTTGGTGATATTTGGTGTGAAGGCTGATTTTGATATGGACATCAGCTACATCTTTCCTCAAGGTGTGCTGGTCATTATCACCTTGATAGGGGGTGTGGTTGGTTTTGGGGAGGAACCTAAAGCTTATGCTGTGTGTGAGGCAGGACTTCCTCTTTGGTCCATGGCTGTTGCTACCTTGTCAGGGGCAGGGTCTGCTCCCCCATTATTGGAATAGACACCTAAGGGTCAGGCTTGATCAGGCTCCATTCCCCTTCAGTGCTGCCTTGCCCTCAAAGGAAGTAATTGCTGGCAAGTGAGGTCCGTGTGCTTCCAGAGGACCAATGCACTGCCTGTTTAGGCATCTGTGGCTCCACTCAGAAACAGCCCAGGGTTGCGTCCCTTACCCTGTTGTGTCATCCCAGATCTAGTGCGAGGTGTGGAGTAGGTGGGGCTAGGAGTTGGGGCATTATGGCTGCTAGATTTGAGGTGGCTGTGCTGTCACCAGAGATCTGGGCTGCCTCAGTGGCCTTCTTCTCTCAGGACCTGTCTGCCCCAGATCCAGAGCTAAGCTTTGTATGGAGTGGGCAGAGCCAGAGCACTCACTCTGCTGGGAGGAAAATTGCGGGGTGCTCCTGTGGTGCCACCCGAGTGAGTACTGGCAGTGACCACCTCATTCATATTACATCCCAGGAACCCCCAGACTGTTTCTGTATAGCTAGACCAAGTCTTTTCCCAGGGCATGGTTGGCCCACGTCTTGTGCTGAGCAGTGGTGTGGAGTGAGTAGGGCAGGGTGTTCACCCTACTTGGGGAATACAGTGAGGCAGCAGCTACCAATACAAAGCTCTCTCCGCGCTGATTACTGGTAACCAGCACGTGTGCACTCCTCCTGAGTACAGTCTAGGCTTCTCTAGCCCTTCTGTCTATCCCAGCAGTTCGCCCAGCAGTCAAGGGGTCTTGTCTCCTTGCAGGACCCCAGGACTGGCATGCCCAATCAACCCCAGGACTGGCATGCTCAACCCACTCGCTCCCCACAGTGAGGGTCTGTCTACCCATGCAGACCTTCTCTTCCTTTCAGATCCCTCAGGTCGGGGTCCTGACCCTATGCCTTTTTCCGTACTACCCGATTGTGTGGGAATCTTTCTTGCAGCATTGGTTGTATAGGAATTCTGCCATTTTCCAGTTAATTTTCCATGAAAATTTTTCTACATGTAGAGGTGTTCTTTATATGTTTGTTGGGGGACATGAGCGCTGCATCCTTCTACTCTACCATGTTTATCGCTTCTCTGATGTTATTTTTTAAGTATCATTTGTGGTTTGTGTTCAATGGGCTGATTTTTCAGATTAATCATTCCAATGGTAAATTATACTGTCAGCTATCCACAAATGTATTTGGCACTTTGCAAAAAATAACTAGTCGTTGACAGATATAACCCTCCCAAAATAATCATTTTTGGCAATTATTGACTTTGCCTCATACTTACTCATATCAAAAATGATTCATCTGCCTCATAAAACTATGTATTTAAAGATGACTTTCCATTTTAGAACCATTTTCTTCAGTAAGTTGAAAGTCTAATACCCTACACAAACTGTAAACTGTATTCAAGCAATAAGATTGGTTAAAAATTGGTCCCAGTGTTAGAAAATACCCTAATTAATTCATTTTTATATGTTTAATCCCAATTTGTTTATGCTGCTATGTTGAAAAGATATTCCTTTGCTAAACTAACTAAAAATCAACCACTCACCCATCTTAAGTAAGGTATTGCCTTGCAGCAAAAATCACCTAATAACCCTAAAACTTAGACTGTCACTGAAGGGTTTTTGTCTCATTTTGACCTAATACACATATTTCTGTCCATTCCACACTTAAAGAAAACTTCTAAAACTTTCTGACATTACTTTACTTTTACCACAGGTAGGTTGATTTTACCTATCTCTGTAAGCTCTGTGATGCTATGTCTCACTTTCTTCTAAATCTGTCTAGCATTTATATTTATGGAACTTTCATAAAAATAGTGGAGAAGCTATTTTAAGATTGTATTGTATTTTAAGGATTCTAGACATCTGTTTATCAGATAGGTCCATTATTGATAGGAGAAATTTGAGAAATAAGATCCTAAAGAAGTGCTTGAGAGAAAATTCCTTCTTTTTTCTTTAGCTAGAAATCCTGAGAAGCTAAGGGCAAGAAATAAAAGAGTGAGGAGCAGGAGCTGGGGGGAGGGGGAGGAGGAAGGAGAAGAATGAAACTTTGTCCTCTGTGTCTACCTGGTAAATAAAGGTCTCAGTATTTACCAGCACAGCCCAACTAATTTCCTTAGAATAAATTTAGTAGTTTGGAGGAATGGCTACTGAAAGTATAGACTTAATAAAGCTGAAATTACCTCATAATTTTTTTTCCCCCCTAGATTGTTTGACTTCACAGACACGTCTCAGGTTAAGTGGTATGTTGGTAAGCATCCATTATTTTGTAAGACATAGCATCATGTTAAGAAACACATTTAAAAGCTGATTCCACATATTTTCTTTGGTGGTTTCTTGAACACTTAACTCACTTATTTGTAATCGTCCTTGTTTTCTAGTAAATGTGTTTATAGCTATAAGCTTCTTTCTAAGCTGTATTCAATGCATTTTAACATGGTGCTTTTGTTATCATTCACTTCTAAGTATTCTGTAATTTAATTATAAGCTCCTCTTTAGCCAGAGGGGTATATATTAGTATTTTTGTAATCTCAAACATTATTTTTTGTTGTTTTGTTACTTTATTTATTTAGCTCTCATCGTTAATATGGTCAAGGAGTAGTCTCTGTGTTGCTGACATTTTAACACTAGTGACACTCCCTTTATGGGTTGGGAGTTTGCCACTTATGAAGATTATTAGTATTCTGTGTATGCTTGAAAATGTTTCCTATGTATGTTAAGTATAATTTTTATATCTATTAGATCAGATTTATTAATCATGTTTTTCAAATTTGCATCATTTTGGGAGTATTCTTTTAAAAAGTTTACAATAGAGAAGTTCTGTTTTTGCTAAATATAAATCCCTTTAACTTTTTATTCCACTTACAACACTACTTATTTTTTGCTTTTTTCCATTTTAGGATGGTCTTGTTAATGTAGGATGGATGGACTGTGCCACCCAGGACAACCTTTGTAAAAGTTTGGATATTACAACAAGTACCACTGCCTATTTTCCTCCTGGAGCCACTTTAAATAACAAAGAGAAAAGTGGTATTTTGGTATGAATCATTTTAATTTCTTTATGTATAAATACACACACATTCAGATACATCATTTTGTAAACCATGAGCAAAAAACTGAACTAGTTTATATCATCTGATTATGGAACATTTAATTGTTTAGAACAAATATTTATTTTCTGGGATTGTGTTTGATACATCCTTCAGTTTATAAAGTAAGCTACAAGGATTATTTTTAAACTAGCGTAAACCATTACATTTTTAAACCCCAAAGTTATAGACCACATCCTGGTTAAATGAGTATTTATTAGTTTCCATTTATTTGTATACATTTTAATATTAAAATATAGATCTTCAGTAGGTTTAGCTGGAATCTGGTGTCTGACTTTTTAAAGCACCCTGTTAGATTCTAGTATAAACTCAATTGGTAGATATACTGGTGTAGTTCACCTCCCTAATTTTATGAATGAGGAATCTGAGGTCAAGCCAGTTGTCAAGGAGCTGAGACAAATACTAGGATACCAGGTAGGTCCCCTAGGGACCCCAAAAGAATAAAAGATGCTAGTACTTCCTGTAGTTTTTTTCTGTACTTTAATTCTTTTTTTGATGTTGATAAAGATTACATATACTCATTACAGAAAGTCATATGTGGTATATAAATGTATAAAAAAAGATGCAAAATTCATGGGCAAGCATCATCAGATCTTGGTATATAGTCTTACAGATCTCTGCTTACATGTGCATATAATTATGGCTTCATGCATACGGCTTACCAATTTCATCTTTGGCCCAGACCCTCCACTCCAGACTTGCATGTCTTACAGCCTATTTGGTGTCTCCCCTGGGATGTTAATTGATGTCTCAAATGTAGATGTGTGTAGCAGTACTCACAGCGTTTCCCCATAAATCTGCTCTACCCAGAGATTTTCCCAATCTCAGTTGATGAAAATTTTTTTTAGCATTAAGCAAAATACCTTGGAGTCATTCTTGACTTCTCTTTTTCTCATACCTTATCATCTATACCCTATTCATCAGGAAAATCTGTGTCTGTCTTTAAGATCTTTCCATAATCCACCTCCACTGCAACCAGAGCACTCATCACCTTCTAACATACATTATACTTTACTTATTTATGCTTTCATCATTTTTCTCCTGCAATAAATTTTAAGTTTGGACTTTCCACTGATATATCCCAAATCCCTAGAGGAGTAGCTGGCAAATGAGTACTATGTATTGTGCCTACTTAGTGCATTATATTGTGTGTGTGAATGGTATTCGGTTGACTAAATGTGACATACTTAGATTAATCAGTCATCTCTTGATGTATATGTTGTTTCTACTTTTTCATGATTGTAAGCAGTGTTGTAAGGAACTATCTGGTTCACCTTTGTGCACTTCTTCCATTATCTGTTTAGAATGCATTGGCTGCAGCAGTTTCAAATGCAATTCATATTGCCAGATTGCCCTGCAGAAAAGCTGGGTTTATTTT